AAAAAAAAAAGCTGCACTAAGACTTTTAAGACACTGCATATATGCACATGCTGATCCAAGTTATGAAGCATTTTAACATTCATGGCTCACATATACTTCAATATATATCATTCATTTCAACTCAAAGGATATTTCAACTCATATTTACTTGATCAGTCAATCAACAAGCATTTATTAAGCACTCAGACAAAAATACAAAAATGAGACAATCCCTGCCCTCAAAGAACTTACATTCTATGGAGGGATACAACCTATATGAAGGAGTGATCATAGAAGTGACTTTAAGCCTAGGCAGTCATGGGGAGAGCCATAGGGCAGTAGATTCTCATATTCTTTCCAACAACAGTGGTAATATTGATTTAATATTAACATTTAATTGGTAATATTGATTTAATATTAACATTTATTGTTAATATTTAATATTAACAATAGTTCCCTGAGCCAAAGGTGAAAAACTGCTGCTTGTTGGTTTGTGTGTGGGGATGAGGATGGGGGAGGGGGGCTGCATTTGCATACAGAGGCAGGCCAGATAATTTGATGTCCATGCTAACTAGTTCCTAGTGTCCTGGGAAAGGGCTAGATGGGATGAAACATGGTGTGGAGCCAGCTTGCTATATCTAAGGTAACTCCTCCCAGAGCCAGTCCCCAAATGTATTGAATTAAATACTCTAGGGTGGGGAAGGGGAGGATCTTCAGAGGTCCAGGTTGTGATGGAGAGTGGGAAGGCAGTGGTACAGAAAATGGCAAGATACCCAGACTGGCTGGGCCTTGGTGTCCTGGTTGAATGACTGGCGCAAAGGCATGCTATCTACCAATCAATAAATAAACATTTATTAAGCACTTACTACATGCCAGGCACTGTAATAAGTGCTGGGGATACAAAAAGAGGCAAAAGCCAGTCCCTGCACCCAAGGATTTACAATCTAAAGGGGCAGACGACATGCAAACATAGAGATACAAAGCAAAATATATATAGGACAAACAGAAAATTATTAAAGAGGGAAAGCACTGGAATTAAGAAGGGTTGGAAAAAGGCTTCGTGTAGAAGGTGGGATTTCAATAGGGACTTATTCTTGTTGTTCATCCTTTATTTTTAAAGAGGACCAATGACATCACAAGGTGATGTCTTCACTAGACTGTGAATTGGGCTTGAGTGAGGCAGAGTTGCTTCACTCTCCCAGAATCATTGAAGTCCAGTTGGGACTTAAAGGAAGCTAAGGAGGTCAGTAGTTGGAGCAGAGGAGGGAGAGACATATGCTGACACCATTTTTCTTTCTGGCAAAGGAGTTGTAGAATTTAGGATCCAATTGGATTTGGGATCCAGTGTGATCTGGTATTAAGGATTGTCAGTGTTTTCTTGGTCTCAATAGACTGGTTGCTAGCCAGGCTTTCTGACTACTTTGGGACTTAGCTAGCCCATTCTGGAGCAGGGTAAGTGAACTCCACTTTTTTTGTACTGCCTTTCTCTCACAGTACTCTAACCAGACAGGCTTATACCCATTTTACAGATAAATAAACCACAGTTAGAGAAGCTAAGTGATGGCCGCCAGTTAATAAGCAGCAGAATTGGGACTTGAACCCACTATTCCTGAGTCTATGTCTAGTATTCTTTCCATTACAGTCTCATGAGGGATTCCACATTGAAAATAATAATAAGAGCTAACATTTATATAGTGCTTACTATATGCCAGGCACTGTGCTAAGTACTTTATAATTATCATCTCATTTGGTCCTCACAACAACCCTGGGAGGTAGGTGCTATTATCACCTCCATTTTACCTTTGAGGAAAAGAGAGAGGGGTTAGACAGAGGTCAGGGTCGAACAGCTAGTAAGGTCTGAGGCTTCATTTGAACTCAGGTCTTCCTGACTCCAGACCCAGCACTCTATCCACTACAACACGTTGCTACCCAAAATCCGAAGAAGTCTACAAAACAATAGTAGCTACTATAGCATTTAAAGGTTTACAAAGTACATTCCTCACAAATGATCCTGTGAGTTAGATGATACAATTTTTGTTATCCTTATTTTATAGATGGAGAATCTTTGCCTTTACTTTAGCAACTATGGAGGTTTGAATTTCTGTAAAAGTCTTATTGTATATAAGAATTATATTTAGATTGATTCAGGGAGGATGGTAGGAAGACTTAGATTCAGCTCCTTCCTCTGCCACATACTGATACTGTCTGTTTGACCCTGGCAAATCACAACTCTAAAAGTGCCCTACTCAAATCTCCAAAATTATAAATTACAGAACTCTTGCTATTTGTATTAGGAGAAGAAATTTTCTCATGGGGAAACTTCTTTTTTTTATTATTATTTTTTTTCCATGGGGAAACTTCTTAACCAATGAAATTACAGGTCTGATACCTCCCCTTCCCCCCAAAAGAGTGCTTAACCTTCTTTAAAACCTCATTTTCTTCCTCTTTCAGGTCTGAAGAAGAAAACCTGCTTCCCTGAATTGTTTTGAGGGTCAAATCAGATAATGGACATGACAGCAGCATTGCACAAATGGGAGGTGCTATTTTCTTCATCAACTCAGCTATTTTTATAGTCTCAATTGTCATGTCTACCAAACATCTCAGCCATCCCAGCCTTGGGCAAAATGGTGAAATAGGCAATGTTTGTCCTACTATTCTCTCTCTAATCCCACTTTACCTTAAAGGAAAATTGACATTAAAAGGTTTCATGGTTGAAGCCTTAATTAGTTTACAGAAAACTTATGGGTCAGCACCCTACTTCAAGTCCCACATATAAAAGGTTACCAAATCATACAGGTGTGGCCAATATTTTGCCACAAAAGCTGGCAAGAGAAGTCATGGCCAGATTTTTTTTACTTTTGCTTCTGGTTACTCTAATCACATGTGTACCAAATTATTGATATTATTCTGACTAGTTCTAGAGTGGGGAAGGGAAATGAACGACTGGGTTGCAACATAATGCTGAGTCAGGCTCTAAGGCTCTCTTCCCTTTTTTTCTGTTCTCCTTAAATAAAATAAGAGCTCGCCTTCACACAGCACGCTTGACTTTTTCAAAATGCATGGACATCTGTTTTCTCATTTTATCCTCACCACAGCCCTTCGAGGCAGATATTAGTTCCTGATTACTGATGTGGAAACTGAGGCACGGCCAGCTTTGTCAGGAAAAGAGCCTCAGAAGTTGACTCAACATTATACTGCACCCTAGTCATTCATTCCCCATCGCCACCTTCGGGTCAAACCCAAGTAGCTTGCTCGGTTCCGGTCTGGTGGACTGGGAGGCGCAAAGACCACCCCTCTCCTCGCCCTCCTGTTTCAGGCCCTATTCTCATGCTTTCCTTGCTCTCCCCCCTTCTTCTCCCTCTCCCCCCTTCTCCTCCCCCTCCCCCCCCCGATAAGAAGCAGGTGGTAGGTCCCGCGCCCAGCGCGCAGGCGCAAGACGCGGAGGCGGGGCGTGCGCGGCATCGATTTCGGGCTACGGCGGGAGCTGGAGTAGCAGCCAGTCGCCCGTGGAGTGCGCAGGCGCTTGGCGGTTACCGGTCTTGCCATGGAGCGGAAAGGTGAGCTGCGGGGCGGCCTCCGACGGCCGGGGCCACGCGGGGAGCGGGGTGGGGGGAGGGCAACGGCCGCCTCGCCGGCCCAGGGTGGGGCGAGGGCAGACCGGAGACCCCGAGCTTTCATCAGATCCCCGAAGGCCTTGTCTCGGGGCGTGCATACCCCCCCCACCTTTCCCCGGTTCCTTGAGCTGGCGGCACCCCTTATCTTCCCCACCCTCTCCGCCCCGCGGGGTCCGGCCCCTTCTCCGCCGGGGTCTCCTCAGCCTGGCCCGAGGTCCCCGCCCTCCCCAGCCCCTTGCGCTGCCTCTTCCACACTCACCGCCCCGGCCTAAGACCCTTCCTCCACCCGGGGCCCCCTCGTGTTCCCCGTGGGCTCCGCTTCTGGCTGTGGGGGGCCGTGCCACCCCGCCGCCGCCCCCTACCCTCCCCCAATGCCGCTGCGGTGTCTTCACCTGGCCGCCCTTCCCCGCCCGGGTCCGCGCTCCACGTCACCTGGGTCCCCACCCTACCACCGCGCTCCCCTTTGACGAACTCCTCTCTCCTGCAGTGCTTGCGCTCCAGGCCCGAAAGAAACGGACCAAGGCCAAGAAGGACAAAGCCCAAAGGAAGTGAGTCCTGTAAACAGTCTGCCCCTCCCCGCCCCCCACCCGCTTCTTTCTCCCTCTCCCCGGCGACCTTAAATGCTGTGCGCCTGCAGTTGGGCATTAAGCTGCAGCACATGGCCTAGCCTCGGAAGCCAGCGAGGGACACTCTCCCATGTGTAAGGGATTCCCCCCATCCCTCACCCCTTCCCTTCTCTGCCCGAATTTGTATCTTAAGGACCCCTGGCTTGGCCGAATTTGGACAGTTGGAGGAAGGGGATTGTGGGACCCCGGGTAGGCCAAGCTGGCCCTGTCTTCTGTTGGCAGTTAGGGAGGAGAGGTCTCTTCCCTAACTTTGACCTCCCACCGGGAATTGGTATGTCGTTAGTCATTCATTTCTAAGTCACCGAAATCCTTGCTAACCTGTTATGTGTCGTGCTGCCTCCCAGTGTGCCTTCCCTGGCCATCTAGTCTTCCCCATCGTTTTGCGCAGTGCTTTGGTAGAGTAGGCGGCCCAATAAGATATTTTTAGGATGAATCTTCAGGGTGGATTCCTCATCTTGGAAGCGGGAAGATCAGATTCATCTCTTTTTGCAGGATTTATGAAGTTGTTGATGTGAAATTAACCTTTTTGAGCACACTTAGTACTTACATCCTAAGCTTCTTGAGGGCAGGGACCACCTTTGACTTTAGTTGTGCACCTCCCCTCACCCTTTTTGTGGCTTATCTTACTATCTTGCAATATATAGTAGAACTTCGATATTTGTTTGAGTTTTTTTAAACTTATTCCTCAAATACAGACAAGACCAAATCACTCCATGTAAGTCAGTTATGGAGGAGTATCAAATATGAAAGTTATTAATGAGAAATTTGTGATACCAATTCAGATAATAATTTTTCTCACACTGGAATGGATAATCCCGATTTAAACTTGTCATGGGAAACATACTGCATTGCTGCTTCTAGAATAATAGAGCTGCTTTCTGATTTAGTTTCTACAGAAGAGGCTTATTAATGAATTGTACTAATATTTCAGTGTGAAGGTCCATAAAAATCAGATTTTAAACAGTTTGTATTCAGAAAATTAGCTCTTTCTTGTGGTATAGATAAATTCTTCAGTATTAATTGTAGTCCTTGTTATTTTCTACATTTATCTTGTTTCCGTTTATTTGGGTTTTTGTTGTTTCTTTGCATTAGTGGTTTTGGGGTTTGAGGTGTTTTTGTTTTTTTGGTAGACTCTAGTTTTTAAATGATGTGTTGAAAATCCATTAGAGAACTTGTCAAATTGCCTTCTTTTAATAACAGGACCAGAAACATGCCTTCAGAAGTGCCCCAGCCCCCTGCGCCCCCCCTCCCCCCGCAAATTTTTTTTTTTAACTTTTTGGGGGGGGAAGCAAGTAGCAGCTTCCAATTTTTAATTTGGTGTGTAGCTGGGTCATAATGATAATAATCTTAGTCTCTTTGTTTTGCTTTGCTTTCAGTACCCAACTTGAAGAGTATTTTTATTTTCCTTTATGAAGTACTTTCCTTTATGAAGAACTTACTAACACATTGTATACACATATTTAAATTTGATTCATATATGAATTATCGAAAACAATTTTTTTTAACAAAATTGAACAAAATAAGGTTGCTCTGACACTAGCTTGCTGCAGTATGAGTAGGCAAGTCATTTAACCCTTCCATATTTCAGTTTTCCCAAATCTAAGTGGGGATGATAATAGCCATCCTGAATACTTCGGAGTTGTGAGGTAAAGAGAATATGATACCTATGAATTAATCACCAAGCATTTATTAAATGCTTACTATTTGCCAGCACTGTGCTTTAGATACAAAGGAAGAATAAAATCAGTCTCTCCCACTGAGGAGCTTATGTTATTTTTGCAAGTTAGAAGACATGTAGTTATAAGGTTCTAGTATTATTATTGCCCATTCTGCCCAGACTATATGTGTGTAATAGAGCTTCAATATTTGTTTGAATTCGATTTATTTTTTTATTTACTCCTTAAATACATTCAGGCCCAAATAACTCCGTACAGGTCAATTCTGGGCTTGACTTTCTGTTGGTATGTGGTCCTGAATTAGACTAATTTTAATATTAGCCTAAAAGAAATGTAATTCAATATATATTCCACATTCTGATACGTATTATTTTTGGGTTGTCCTGTTATATAGTTATCTCATTGTTCTATATTGGTGTAGTCTAACTCTAGGGTTAATTCTACATAGATAGCGATTCTTTGCCTTTGCTACAAGACTGTAAATTCCTTTAAGTCAGAGGCCTTGACTTACCTTTGTAGCTTCTCCAAGCCTGGCATAGTGCCCATAAGAGAATACAATAGGCAGTTAAGTTGAATCTATGGAGGAAAAAGTAGTATAGTTAATCCAGTAATCATTATGGTGCTTCATTTTATAAAAATGTATAAGTGTGTAAGTGCTGTTACTTACTGATTCAGTTTAGTTTTAGAAAGTTTAAAAATTTTTCATTTGTAATTTCTCTTTATTTGCTAGATACTTCTATTAGTTAAGCTCTACATTTTTATTTCCTCAGTTTTTCTAAGTAGTGATATTATGTTTCATCTGCATTCCTGGCTCCTTCCAGCTCTATTCTACATGCTACATGTATACGAGGGTGTGGTAGGATCAGGGGAAAAGAAAGTAAGTGAATTAGTGGAAATCTAACAACTCAAAGCCTTACTTTTCTGCCTGTTGTTCACTATCTCCCCATCATTTAAAAAAAACCAAACAATTAAAGGAAACCTTTGGAAATTAATTTTGTAAAACCAAGAACTCTTGATAGTATTGACTATGACTGTGCAGTGGGAAGAAAACTGGATTTGGAATCAGGAGACCTTGGTCCTAAATTCCATCTGTGCCACACTACTTGTGTGACCTTGGGCAAGTTACTTCACTTCTTGGGACCTTAATTTCCTTGTCTGTAAAATGAGGGTAAATATAACTCACCATAACTTATAAACATTTTTAGTTTGAATAACAGCAACACATATGTTTGGCTTTAAAATACATATTTTACTTGTTTGAAAATGAGTATAATTAAATAGGAAATCTTCAGACTAAATTCTAGTTGGTCTGAAAAATAAACTATACTCCTAAAGATCTTTCCTTTTCAAAAGAAAAAAGCATATATTTTGAAGTAAAATTGATAATAGACTAGTATTCAGATTTTGTGGAAAATATTTTTGCAGACAAACTATGGTCTACAGTTGGATCCTTGTGGGTAATGGAACTATATTGTTAGCTGGATAATGTAGTGGATAAAGGGCTAGACTTGGGAGTCTGGAAGATGACCTGAGTTTGAAATCTTTAGACAATTTAACCTCTTTATATCTCAGTTTCCTCGTTTATTAAATGGGGAGAATATCTTCCAACCCAAGGTTGTTGAGAGGACCAAAAGATTGTGTGTGATTATAAAGAACTTTATAACCTTAAAGCAGTATATAATTATTAACTACTATTACTACTACTACTGTTAGTGATAGCACTATCATTACATTATGTAGAAGTTGCTCGTGAGCATCCTAAACTTTATTCTTCCTTGTTAGGGATGTCTTGGGGTGGATCCTTGGTAGATAGTGGTCCTATCACAACAGTCTCTACTTTTAAGGAGCTTATAGTCTACTGAGGGGAACAACATGCTTGCAGATAAATAGATACAGAATGTATTTTTTAAAATACATGGTAATGCAGGGAGGCAGTAATAACTGAAAGTCATCTTGAAGGAGGCTATTAAGTTGAGCTTCAAATGAAGTTAGGGGTTCCATGTGGGAGAGGTGAAGAGGGAGAACATTCCAGGAATGCAGGATGGCCTGTTCAGAGATAGAATGCTATATACAGAGAAGAAGCTAGCAGGCCATTTTGGCTGGAGCATAGTGTGCTTTGGAGGGGGCAGGTAGGAGAGTAATGTCTAATAAGTTATAATGGTAGGCTAGAACTGGATTGTGATGGACTTGATAGGTGAGATAGAAACCTTGGAAATTTATCTTAAAAGCAGTGGAGAGGCACTTAAACTTTGGTAACTGAGGAGTGTGACATATCAGACTCCGAGTTCTATATATCCACCTCCAGTGTCTGTCCTTAGTTTCACTCCAGCATCACCAATTCTTTTAGATATTTCCAACTGGCTGTTCCAGAGCCATCTTATACTTGGCATTTCCATAACTGAACTCATCTTTCCCCCTAAATCTCTTCTTCTTCCAGACTTCCTTATTTCTGTCAAAGGTACCACCATCTTAACATTCTCTCAGGATCATAACCTTAGCATTATTCTGGACTCCTCCACTCTCCCTCATCCTCTGTATCCAGTGAGTTGCCATATCTTGGCGTTTCTGCCTTCATCACATCTCTTGTTCCCTGCCTCTTCGCTATACTCACAAAGTTAGGATCTCATTTGAGATTTTCTTCACTTCTGACCAAGATTATTGCAACAACCTCTTTTTTTGCTAGGCAGTGGGGTTAAGTGACTTTCCCAGGGTCACACAGCTAGTAAGTGTTATGTGTCTGAGGCCGGATTTGATCCTGAATCCTGAATCCAGGGCTGGTGCTCTAGCCACTTTGTCACCAAGCCGCCTCCCGAAACAACCTCTTAAAATGCTCTCTCTTCTCCAGTCCATCTTACAGACTACTACCAGAATGAATTTCCTTAAGTACAGATCTGATCATGTAACTCTTCTACTCTGGTAGCTTCCTCTGCCTTTAGAAACAACTGTAAGCTCCTATTTAGCTGTTACATCTTTTCACTACCTTTTTCCAGCCTCACTGGACACCACTCCCTCCAGCACTCTGTGATTCAGCCAAACTGGCATTCTCTTTGTTCTTCACACATGATGCCCGGTCTCCTGGTTCTGTGTCCTTGCACTTCCTGTTCACATGCTTGGAATATGCTCCCTCCTTCACTCTGCTGCATAGAGTCTCTTTCTTCCTTTAAGATTTGACTCAAGCACCATCTTCTGCTTGAAGCTTTTACTGATTCCCTTTCCTCCTGAACTGCTAATACCTTTCCCCCCCAA